GAATTGTGAAATAAATGATCTTAAATGGAACAAATTCGGATGTTAGACTAATCTGCCCCAAATGCACCTTTGGGACAACAGTGACCTTGATGATTGATAATCTCCATAGATATTGGACTAAGATAGTGGTCACTGGGCTTCCTATTTTATTGAAGCTCACTTTTTCAACAAAACTAAATCATTTACACTATGTTTTGCTTTTTACGATCTTTTGACATTTATCCTCAATTTTCAGTTAAATGAAGAGGATAGCAATCACGATGTTTCTGCAAAACGTCCTTCATCTCACTATAACTGGCTATATCTTTTTAATTGTTTACCATGGCATAGGAATAAGAATTGGAATCTTAATGTAACTGACGATAGAAAGTTACCACTAAATCATGTAGTTTGTTAGGTGATTTAGGCAAGTTACATTCTGCCGTTTGAACTACCGTGCTGAATTGTTATCAGGGTACTATGAAAGGCATTACAGTTATTCAAGATTCTGCATGCTAAAAGGTGTTATGGAAACTGATAGTGACTCCCAGTTGCTGCCCATGTTCTACAGATATATGCCGGGGGTTCAAGAGAAAACCTGATCCTCTTAGAGCTGTTTTGAAATGACAGCTGTTTGTAGATAGTTTTAGAACACACTTGCTATCTTTATCTTTGAAATGAATTGCATTGGCATGCACGTTTTCCCCACCCTCTCTATCATGCCAGCCTGTGTAAGGAGGGAGGGAGGGACCAAGCGAAAGAGGCAGTTACCATTCATTGTTACTGCTTTAATGCAAGCATATAATTATGGAATTGCCTGCATGAAGACTACCATAAAATCTTACCTACCTGAGGCCAAGGAAATTTGCGGTAGGCACCTTTTATGGATAGTGTGTGTGTGTGTGTGCTTGCATGCGTGCTTAGAAATATTGGCTAACAATACAGTAGCAGTTTTGAATACTAAAACACCACTCCTATTTAGTGAAAGTATTAGCATCAGACTTACAACTACTTTTGAGTAGTTGATGCTCTACTTGAGGCAGAATTTTACTTTCAGCATGGTATCTGAATTTAAGGTTCTATCCTACTGAAAGAAAGAGTTTGACTAACCTGATGGGAGTGCACTTCTCTCTCACACACATATCTGGTCATAAGACTTTTCTTTTTAAAGCAAGTGATAAGACTTTTGCTGTTTAATTTGTCTCTAGCTTTGCAATGTTGTCAGAGAAGTCTGCAAACTGAAAACTGGTAGAACTAAATGAAGTATGGCTGGAATCTATCATAGGATCGTCTGTTTATATCTGTCCTCATTATAGTGTGTCCAGATCACAGTGGGAACAACAAATTTATTTCATGGTACTGTAGCACTCATTCCACTAGAAAGATGGCCTTATAGCCATAAAAGCACATGACATAGGCACTCTCAAAAATTAATAGATATCCAAAGGAAATATATTTTCCTTTCCATGGAAAGCTTCTCCCACCACAATGAGACTATCTGCTTTTATTTTCTGCGGTGGAATGTGAGAATAGGTAGCTATATGTTTATCATTTAGTGATCAACTAATTATTCCAATGAAGGGTAAAAATACAAGAAATAATATATAAGGTTAATAGAGGAGAGAAATGTGTGTGTATGTATGCATGCATTTATGTGCTAACTATTAAAAGATGGGAAACCTGAAGCTCTCCAGATGAAGAACCAACACTCCTAGCAGCCAAGTTAGTACATGTAGTCCTTGACTTACAACAGTTCATTTAGCAACCATTCGAAGTTACAGCAACACTAAAAAAAGTGACTTATGACCATTTTTCACACATATGACCATTGCAGCATGCCCATGGTCATATGATCAAAATTCAGGTGCTTGGCAACTGTTTCACATTTATGCAATGTTCAGGATCATGTGGTCACCTTTTGCAACTTTCTGACAAGCAAAGTCAATGGGAAGGCCAGATTCACTTAACAGCCATGTTACTAATTGAACCACTGCAGTGATTCACTTAACAACCATGGCAAGAAAGGTTGTAAAATGGGGCAAAAATCACAACTGTCTCACTTAGCAACAAATTTTGTTCTCAATTGTGGTTGTAAGTCGAGGACCATCTGTACAGTATGCCATTTTGTATTTGATAATCAGCCATGAAGGAAAACTAATCCCTCCACTGCCAAATGTGTTTCTAGGTAGTGACGTGATGCAGGGAAAAAAACATTTTGTCCTGGATGCAGAAGTTCATCCTTCTTAGGAAAACAGTTTTGGAAAAATGTGGTTTAACTAATCCCAAACGGGACAAATCCATGTGGGTTGTGTTGTACTTCAATACTGTGCACATTGCAATGAATCAGCTAGTCAAGAAGCACTATCAATGCTTGCACATGGAAGTAGGTAGGTGGGTGGGGTTAGAGGAAAAGCCAAACCAGACACAAAAAACCCCCCAGATAATTCAACTGCTAAATTGCAAGGGACTACGCCTTTCTTGGGTGTGGTTCAGTTCAGCAAGGGAATCTTCATCGAAGGATAAGAAAATCTCCCTCTCCCCACTTTCCCCCCCAGAATTGAAAGTACTTGAAAACAGGAATCACATCCAATTTGCATCCTTTCATCTTCATTTCAAAAATTTTGCTGGGTTAAAATGGATATGGAGATTACTGTATCTCTTAAGTTATGGAGCTTTCTTTAAAAACTGTCTTTAGCCTAAAAATGTTTGTTCCTGTACATAATATTTTATGATTCCTAAAAGGGCCTACATTTTAGGCTCCCTAAATGTATCTACGTACAAAAACAGTATTACAATACGCTTGAAACCAGGCATGAAACCTCTTTGGCTGAAACAGTGACATTTTAGTCACTTTGGATCCCCATGCATTAATGTGTATGACCATAAATATATGTGTTTATATTTGTTCATAAGCAAATATTAATTTATATGGATACTGTGAATACACCAGACTGTTCTAATCATGTATCTCCTGGAAGGATGTTAAACTTCAGCTTCTTAGTTAGCAAGATTTTTAATCCTATGGATTATGGGACTTCAAGGTCTACTCATTTAAAGATGGCCAGATTGGGAAAGGCTGGAGTTAGGCTAATCTTTCCCCCCCCCCCACACTTCTTTCTCTCTAGGGTATTTTCAAATATACAATCTACTCATGTACAGATCTATATCCCTGCCCCCATATAATACTCAAGAGATTTTTTTGTGATTTTTTTTCTTTAACAAATGCTAGATATGCATGGAATTGAATCGCCCCACTCTTGTGTCAATTAAAAAGCCAGTTCCAATCTTGCTTAAATAATTTTTACAATATAAAAATGAAATGGAGTTACCCCATGAAAAGTAAAAGTAGAGTATGAACAGAAAAAAATATGGAAACAACTCTCCTGTCTTAAACTTTGAGGAAAGTTAGTTGAATCCTATTATTATATTTGTGCTTGTGATGTAGCAGAAAAAAAAATTGTATATTGCAGGTTTGTATTCAGAAACCATTTAAGATACATCATTTCATTTCTATATTCAACTACAGAATTAAGAATAATCATTTGTTCAAGTTTAAGAGTGTAAGAGTGATGGAGCATGAATTGTTCTCTCTTCCTTCATTGATCTTTATGTGAGTTCCTTTACTGTAATCCTAGCTAACACAATCATACACTGCAGGGCTGCAAGGAATGTTATGTAGCCCAACACACCAGGTTGTGGTACTTGCCAAAAGGTAGGTATAGGCCCTTCCTTATCTAATGTTCCTACTTTGGCATCAGTGTAACTGTTGTCTTGAGCATAATTTCTACTGGATCCTAAGACATTGCTGAGGAAATTGGATGAGATAGTACAGGTACCTGTTTTATCTACGTTCCAATCCAGCTCACTTCCTGCTCAGAGCAGCGGTAACTCTGTGACCAGGAAAGCAATTCCAATACACAAAAATATCCATGGATGACAGGAATGTTAGAGCTATGGTAGTATTATTAGAACAGTGTTTGGCATGGTATTTAGAGCAGACTATGCTTTCTAGAAAGCTTAATGCACAGGCCAAACGTACAGAAGTATTTAAGAGGAGAAAGATATAGGGAATAAATATGGAGGGAAGGGGGAGGAATTGAGATGGAAGGAAAATAATATACCAGTAATTAGGAAAGGTATGTGCAGTTGGATGATAAAAATATCTACTATGATTAAAATACTATGATATAATATGGTCAGCAATACATTTCTGACCATAATTGTGTATAAAGTCCATTTGGTGAGATAAATTTGTATTGTTTAAGACATATAGAAAACTGAGAGAAGCGGAAGGCAGAACTGAACATTATAGAAAAATTGCCTATATAATTGCTGGTCGATAGAGATAATTTTGCAAAAATGTCGTGCCTTTCTAGACAATTTTTATGTTCATAGACAAGTGTATCACTTGTTATTTCTGGGCTGTTTTCTAACATGGAAGGTAATAGAGAAGGTAAACGACTGTTTAATTTATTATCTAGGGAAATAAAATAAATATTTCCTTTCTTTTCCCATTATGAGGTAACCCAGGACACTAAAATAATTATTTCTCTTGTAATTGGCATAGGAAATCAGGGACTTGGGTTAAGTAGGTAAGATACTTTATTGCAGACACAAACAACCTTAGTTATGGCAAAGGTTAAGAATGGGTTCAATATAATTATATTCCCTCGGGTTTAAATCCTGTGGGGGGTTTTTTCGCCCAGTCTCATGATGGATGATTAGTTGCACCTGGTTTTTGTTTACAAAATACTCTGGTGCAAGGCTGCTTTCCAAGGCCAGCCCTCATACCAGCTCTATTCCAAAGATATAATGCTTGAAACAATATTGTGTGTCTGAGTTAAAATAACCGTATGACATTAGTAGCCCTTGTTTCTTCCACATCTATTTGCATATTTACAACTCCAGTGCTATGAGTTTAGTTGGAGGCACTTAGCTTTTTTCAAGTGGTTTTTAACAATCAAGCAGTATCACATCAGATTGAGTGACACGATTCTGAATAAAAGTCATAATAATTACACTTGAAGCAGCAATAATATTTTTATAGAATCAAAGGCTTCAAGTCCTCTTCCCCTTACCTGAAAAATAAACAAATTAGACAGGTTGGTTAATAAACCAATTATCTAGCTACACTCCTATCTGGCCTTAGACCTGGACATAAGAGTGGAAGCAAACTTGATTTCCCTGATTATATAGGTATGGCTTGACTTGTGACTCTTCAGATACTTGATCTCCCATACTCCATAATTAAATGACACCAAGAATTATCATGGTTAAATAAACACAAATTAAGAAGAATCCATGATTAGTATAGAATACAAGAATATATCCTTTTGTGATGATAAGACTTGTCACTGCTCTTTTCACATTGATTTTGGTTTTGCCTGCTTTGAACTTACATTTGCTTCTTGAACTTACATTTGCTTCTTGCTTTACCAACTTCAACTCTCACATCAGCTCTCCCTTTCCTTCCTCTCCTTTCTTGGACTTGGTTGTACCAGGAGTATCTCCTTAATTTCACCTACTAGACATTGGAAGGATGAACTTGTGTTTTTTCCATTTCTACATTTTGTAAGCAGGAGCTGATAGACACACACACACACACACACACCCGTTTCCAGATTTCAGGGGGAGAATTTTCATTTATTTTTTGGAAATCAGAGAAGTTTCTTTCCAGATTTTCTTCCCACCTTTTCCTAACACTAGACAATTGGAAGTGAGGCAGTTTCCTTCCCTTTGCAGGGGACTGTTCAGAACCAGGAAGCAATTGTGGAAAGCTGTACATTTTGAGTATGGCTGGAAGCTGCAGATGAAAGTATTGAACTGGCTGGAAGCTGCAGATGAAAGTCAGTATTGAACTGTGCAAATACTGGAAATAATGCAATGAATTTTACATTGTACTTCTTAGATGCCAAATGGAGGGAAGAAATCTGATGGTAAACTGGTTGTGGCTTCCAAAATCAATGTAAGACAATGGTAATGATGGAGATCTTGTAGAAGACCTTTGTATGAGCTAGTTCAGTGTTGGCGAACCTTTTTGGCACTGAGTGCCGAAACAGGAATGTGCACGCAGGGGAGCACCGGAAAAGGGAAGAGCTGAGCTTCCGGTTTCAACGTGTGCATGTGCGCCGGTCACCTGGTCTTCCGGTTTCTGGTGCACATGCACGCATGAAGACCACCTGACATGTGCGTAGGAAACTGGAAGCTCAGCAAGCAGATTCATCTCTCCAGGCATGCCAGCCGTCGCCCGTTGCTCTTCTGGTTTCCGGCTCTCCCGCATGCATGAAGACTAGTTGGCCAGTGTGCATGTGTGCACTGGAACCCGGAAGAGCAATGGGTGATGGCTGGTATGCCCGGAGAGATGGCTCTGTGTGCCACTTTTGGCACGCGTGCCATAGGCTCGCCATCACTGAGCTAGTTCTTGCAGTTATTGGAAAACTGGAGGGTATGTGGAATGGGGAAAAGCTAGGAAACATTTGGCAAGAGGCATGGTTGGTAGCTGTAAGTGGCCTGAAATGGTGACATATGAGCAGAGGCATGAACGGTGTTATTATAAGCAAACTCAGCCAGTTGTTGTATTAGTAGTTTACATAGCAACAAAGATACTACCGTAAGGTGGCATTTATCTTCTCCATTTCCATATCCGACTGTGGATGATGACCAGAGAACAGGTGAAGCTTAGCATCCAATAGTTGAAATACAGCCGTCCAAAATTATGCCATGAGCTATGTATCTCTATCAGAAATTAAATGTTTTGATAAACTGTGGTTCAGGAAAACTTGTCAAATAAATAGATGAGTTTTCTTAGGAGGCCACAAAAGGGTGTGAAATAAACCACCTTAAAAAAATGGTCAGCTACCACCAGAGAGGCATCTCAGGCCTTAGTATATGGAATATCAGTAATAAAATCCATGGATACTATATCTGAGAGTCACCTTAAGGGGTAGGGAAATCAGTTATCCAGATGACTTGGTGGTAGAAGTTTGGCCTGGTGACTTAAATGACAGAAAGAAACACAACCATTGATATCCATCCTAACAACTATCAAAAACCATGGTAGAAGGAAATGGTAGTTTTAAATAGTCCAAAATGTCCTAGTCACAGATGCCACAACAGAGCTGTAAAACCTTTTACCTCACAGTGTTCTATAAATCAGGCAACAACCAGCTCAAATAAAATTTGTGAGGTTACAATGATTATATTTGGCATAGAATTTTTCTTGGTCTTTACTATAACACATCTCAAAATTAACTACTTGTATTTTTAAATGTAGGGCCACGATGGCTCCGTGGTTAAAGACACTGAGTTTGTCAGCTGAAAAGTTGACAGTTCAGGTTCCAGACCTGAGCACCAGGTGACAGAGGAACTCCCTGCCCCAGCTCCTGCCAAGCCAGCAGTTGCATGAAAGCATGCAAATGCAAGTAGATAAATACGAACCACTGGTGGGAAGGCTGCATGTACCTTGGTGTATAGTCATGCTGGCCACATGACTATGGGAATGTCTTCGGACAACACTGGCTCTTTTGACTAAGTAATGGAGATGAGCATCGTTCTCTAGAGTTGGACATGACTGGACAGGGGAAACCTTTAGCTTTACCTATTATTATATCTATTCCAAGTCATAATAACAATTCCTACTATAAAGTAATAGGTTAAGAATGTTGTTCAAAAGAAACCACTGGATGCTAAGTGAATATTGGCAAGTGGAAATCTCATTTTTAATATAAAATTGTGTATGTGTGCACATGCACATATATGTACTCACATACTCTCATAACTGCCTATAAACCAAATGAATACAATGTGGCATAAGAAAATAGTCGTAGTACAGAACATAAGAAAAGAGCAAAGAACAAAATGGCCATCATTGGAATAATGAGCCGCAGTAGCACAGTGGTTAGAGTGCAGTACTGCAGGCTACTTCTGCTGATCACCGGCTGCCAGCAGTTCGAATCTCACCAGGTTCAAGGTTGACTCAGCCTTCCATCCTTCCAAGATCAATAAAATGAGGACCCAGATTGTTGGGGGCAATAGGCTGACTCTGTAAACCGCTTAGAGAGGGCTATGAAGTGGTATAAAAATCTAAGTGCTATTGCTAAGTGCTATAATAAGCAACAAGAAGAAAGTTACTGGTTAATCTGGTTAATATATAGATAAAATGAAGAAAATTAGAGCTACCAGAACTGGACTGGGTAGCAGCGTTTGAATAAAGTGCATATGTTTCCTACCATCTAGTGGCTGTGTGGATTTTTGCAGCTTGGAAGGGAAATGTCCTTAAGGAAATTAAACTTCAAAGTTAATCAAAAACAAAATCAATTTCTCCTATTCCCATTACAAGAAACACCTTGTCTGGGTACTCAAGAAGGAGTTTATAATTTCTTGGCCCTGTCATTAATGATAATTGATCAGATTGGCACTTGCTGCATTGAATAAGATATTAATCCCTTACAAGCAGACTCTTAAACTAGCACTTTCAGCTTTAATTACAAGTGGGACAATTTCTCGCAGCATTTGTAACAAGTTGAGATGATATCAGAACAATGACTCATGGTAATATTATGTAAACACTCCAATTATGTACTTGCATTACATGTGAGTCATGGCAACTGTGTAATCATTACACATGATTTTTGTCCTTTGTGGACACCCATTATAAGATCAAATGAATTAAATGTGTATTGCTATAAAAGCATCAGTTAGAAGGGTCTTAGAAGAAAAAGAAAGCATTCCACAAAACATGAAGCAAACAAATCTTACTGAAGAAAAACATTATCTTTTCCTTATGCTTAGATCAAATTGATTTCTGCATAAATTAGATAAACTGAATTGGGTCATCTAATATTGGGTCATCTTGACAAAAATGAAAATGATATAATTTATGTAGTATCCTTTATCTTAGCATGCAGATAATCCTTGTTTAACAAACACTTGTTCAGTGACCATTCAAAGTTATGATGGTGCTGAATAAATGGTAATTAATGACTAGCCCTTGATGTTCTGGCTATCCCAGCACTCCTATGGTCATGTGATATGATCTTGTAGGCCACCCACACACCCTGCTTGCTCAGCAATAGCCTTGTGCACTTGTGCCTCGCTGGTCACCTGCACATCCTCCTGGCCAGGCAGCAGCCACTTACCTACCTGTCAGCCTGCTTGCAAGATGCTTGGGGCTATCTTAATCATCCATGATTCTCACATAGTGATGGCAACAGGGAGTGTCAGGATTGCCATCACTAAGTGATGCGGTCATGTGATATTGCACTTTATGGCCTCATAATTTAGCAACAGAAATTCTGGTCCCAATGACCATCATCAACTGAAGACTCTAATGCATTTATAATTAACCCAGAATATACATATTGAAGGGGGAAAATCAAACCATGATCAAATAGCTATGTTGTTTTACTCTGCTATTTTTGAAGCCTTTATTGTAGAGAAAGCTTGAATACATGACAGAATTTATGAAAGTGTTGGGAAGAGGAAATTAGGTACATTTTGGGCATGAATATTAGACATTCTCCTACTGAAAGTATTGTGTAGATTATGATAGGAAAAAATCATCTCATGCAACTTTGTAAACTGTGGGAATGGATGAAGTGCTTTATGTGTTCCATTTAATAATAATACCCACTGTGAGAGAGGCAATAATTGCCCTGTCAGGTACATGATATGAGAAAAACAGGGAAACACTTTACCATCTATTTGTCTATCTTTCATCCATTGGTCCATCTGGGTCTGCAGGAGGCTTCATCAGCTCCTGGAGAAATGCTACCCTGAAGCGTCAGTCATTGCACATGCCCCTTTGTTAAGTTTTAAAGTGGCCCTAAAGAACCATGCAATTATCCTATAAAGGAAAGAAACTGGGACTCTAATCTGCTGCTGTTATTGCTGCATAGTCTTATTAGATGTGCCAGGGAGATGGGGAAAAATAAAGAATGGAGGGAGAAAATATTAAGGTAATTGTTAGAGGGAGAACAGTGGGAAGCTGCAATTGTTTTTCCACTTTCCTGGGCCTTGCAGGAAATGAAGAGCAGGTGTCTGGCTAGTTTTTCATATTCCTCCCCTCCTTTCAAACAAATAAGTCAAAAGTGACAAGATGAGTGCTCTAACCTGAAAGTCCTTCTTTTTATTGCTCTCCATTGCAAGTAAGGTCATGATGCAAAATTTAATCCTGGATGGAAGTACTGACCTGGCATGTAACTTGAAAATGTGGTTGAGAAAAGAATATAACAGACTGGGATGGGAAGCTGGAGAGGCGGCATGGCCATGTCTGTAGGAATTCCATCTTAATGACCAGAAGTTCTGAAAATATGTCCATTTCAAGTGTTTGCTTATATTGGGGGTAGGTGGGTGGAGGTAGACTGCTGGGACAGTAGGTTAGTGTTAGTGGACAATCCAGTCTGCTCTACAACCGTCTCCCTTGTGGAATTATATAGGGTGATTTTTAGTATGGCAGTCCAGTT